ACTTTAAAAGTGCACTGGCACATGAAGTGAAATAGCATGATAGATTCACTTCAGGTGAACGCTCAAGAGCTTTATTGACAGTAAACGTATCAGAGGAACGTTCCATGTAATTGATTCAGTTAATGGAGCTTGCTCCAAGAGATGACTATAACTTTCACAAATGCATCGACTAAAAATATATTTTTTCATTGTCGTACAATATATCTGATAAATTTTGATGATATAAAACAAAGTAATGTATTCCAATCCGAAGAAATTATTGATCGTTTAGTGTTTTTCATGTTTCCATTCATAAATGTAACAAATTGATTTGTTTGTTCTTTTCAAGAAAAAACGAAATTAAATTAAACGCTATCCTACACTTAGCTTATACTTTTGTTGTCCAAAAGATCCATTGTTTTCAGTCGAAGCAATATATATATATATATATATATTCAATAATTGATACTTTAATTCTTTAAACTATGTGTTGTGTAACAATTGCTTAATCCCTCTTTATCTCATTATACAAATACGATGGTTATATTGATACAGTCTTTTACAGAATGTACCAACTCATTTTTAAGTAAAATCTAAATTATTGAACAGATTATTTCAGTGTGATGATACAATAAATCTACCTATTGTTATAAACATTTTGAACTTACAGTTACAATGATAAAGTAATCAGTTAGAATACAGTTTTACCTGACATAAACTTTTACATCCGGAGTACAAAGGATTTACCTTGCAACCCAAATGTATTTCCCCCACTGACATCCCTAACAACTATCTGTCTTATCCAAATTTCTCAAAGAAATACAATTAACTAATAGTTTCGAAGCGCAACTAAAAAATCAATCATTAAATTTCTTTTAAAGCGTTACAGAAATTTATTTTATCTTGTCATTTTTCAAGCTTTTCAGCTCCATAGTTTGCACGACAGTAGTTAAACTCTGTCACATAATGTTAAAACTGTGTAAATGCTGTACTTTAATATCAGATAGTTTTAGAGAGGAGTATAAGGTCAATTTTTTAAAAATGTGCACTAGTCGTTTTATTACAGATAGTTTATATTTTCAATCAAGAATATTTACGTTAATAATTTTTTTTTAAACTAAGTTGGTAAGTGTAATAAAAATGTCAAATATTACTAATTTAATTATCGATTTCTCCAGAATTATTTGTTGTCATTGCGATTATTAAATGCAAAAAATAACAGTGAATTGTCAACCTTTTTCAAATAATATTCTTATTATTTTAGAACTACTACCATTTAGCCACAATCATACATCCATGTCTGATCTTTTATAAGTAAGCAGAAACGTCAACTTGTATAAATAAGTTTTTAACCGTTAATGGCAACAGTTTATTTTAAAACAAAATATATTCTGGTTATTGTTTGTCATAGCGTTTCTATCGACTAAACTGCACAATCGATTTTATGCATATGCTCTAACGAATGCCATACTACCTAGTCGAACGGAACTTCTGATGAAGGTACTGTTGTCAGTTAGTTTGATTATTAATTTTGTCCTTAACACTAAATGAAATAATATGGAAGATGATTACCTATAACATTTTTATTTTAAACTTACAAATCGTATAAGACTTAAGACCTTCGGAAATAAGGGAAATTTAGCGACTGGAAATTGCTTACACCTTTTGTAAAGATAGATTTGAATAAGTCAAGCATTTCATCAAAAATCATAATGCAGCTAAAGAAGATCTTTCAATGTAAAATTTAATATGCAAATTGTATTTGTGATTTCTCATTTGAAATGAATCCGTAATTTTATGGATATCTTTTTTTTGGTTATACTGAAAACATTGAATTTTTAAATGTTGAACAAATAATTGTTAAACAGTTTATGTCATTTTAAATTTGTATAATGATTTAGTTCACACAAATATATATATATATATATATATATATATATATATATATATATAATAAATGAAACTGAGAATATTTCAACATGTGTTAATCATAATACAGTTAACTCGTATTTTAATTGCAGATGTTTAAAGAATTTGGCAAATTATAATACTAAAAATGAATTATTTGAAATTTTTTTAGTTACATACATTTTATAACCTCTGTTTGATATTGAATACAAAATCCTAATCACTATTCAATAGTTTGGATTTCCAAATGATTTATTGATTGAAATCTTTTAGTGTATAACATTAGTTTAGAGGAAGGTCTTTAAAAAAGAGATTGAATCCATTAACAAAAAAGTGTTAAGAGATCAATCGATATTTTCAGTTGTTCTACGAAATAACGGCATTCATATTCAATTCACGTAAATCCTCCTTAAAATTCATTCGTCAATTGGAAATCTTTTTACTATAAATTTAAATGTTAGTTTTAAAACAGTGTCGGTTTGTTGAAAAAAAATATTCAAAGTACTATATGTTTATCACATTTACGAACTAGAAACTACAACTATCACGCACTGTTTCTCTTTACACAGAAGTTAACTGTCAGCATAAGTATATAATCACACCCTTCAAACTGAACATATTCAACATTGGATTCCTTTGATTACTAATTAAACTATTCAACTATTTCACTGAATACTTCATTTTTTGTAGAATCATGTATCTTAGTAAATCCTAAAGCAGTTAAATATAACTTAATGAACCCAGTTATTCGTGCGTAATATCATATGATTTAAATTACACTGATATGTTATGTATATTTTCAAGAAACTGTTGATAATTTTTCGATAACTCAAAAATAATAAATAAATAAAAAGGAAAATGTCATGCTTTAAATAGTTGATTTAAACTTTTTTTAAAGAAAATAAATAATTTAGCTCTATTTAGATGGTAAACAACAAGGCGGTTATCATGAATTCACTTTATTACATAACTAATCATAATTACTGAACCATGCATTGCAAAAAAATAAAGTCACTGTAATGATGAATCATGAAATAGCTTCCCCCCAATTTTTACACTAATTCTGTTATCGACCTCAAAAATAATTAGCTCATTTGAAAAAAACAAACAAACTGTAAATAGAATTAATTATATACGAATAGGAATATTGTTATGAAAAATAAAATGTTCTGTATTTTTTTTCCGTTAGTAGTATATCCACTACTACAACAAGAACTACGACTACTACTGTGAATAATAACACTAGTACACTGCATTATTCATAATAAATGTTTACAGATTACACATATAAAATGCGAAAAATGTGGATGTAATGTAATATTAAACAACAGCAATAACAAGAAATTATCGATTATGTTTGTTTCAAGTTTTACCGATGAATATGATGAATATGACTAATATATCAGTAAGAACAGTAAAACAACAACAACAACAACAATAACAACATAAAGGTTATACAGTGCAAATACACAATGAACAATTCAGTGCGACTGTTTTGAAACAACAACAATAGGAAGAAGAAGAATTAAAACAATATACACTATGAATTCAATTGTCAATAAATCATTGAAAATATGTTTGAATGACAAACATTTTTTTAGTAAAAAGAAATAATGAGTAATGGAAGTATGAAGAAACTATATGTTGAAATGAAAGTGTGTATGATATATATATAGGTTTCAAAGTATGTCTTCATCTATAACATATACGTTATTGACTAATTGAATGATCAAGATAGCGATGATAATAATAATAAGTCATAAGTGAAAGTCGAAAGGTATGAAATGAATAGTACAGTGTGTTTGAAAGTTCACACAAGATAATCTTCAATCAATAAAATGGGTTTGCATTATTTTTCAATGATGTGCTTCGATCTAAACGATTTGTAGACTTCCTTGTTAATTGCGTCTCTGTATTGATAAGAAAAATGATTTGACACAACAAATAAACACAAATAATATATTACATAGATATATATTTAAATATACAACGATGACAACAATTATAACAACATTAAAAAAATGCAACAATGCATTCATTCTAACACAGATTTTACAAAACATTATGATAGCTTTGAATCAAAAAGCAAATATTTGTATAGACTACAAACAAAAAATTGTTGCATGGTCATACGGCCTTGCTTGGAAAAAAACTGAAGTTCATAATGTTTAGTTTGATTCTGCAGTGTATTTGATACAAGTTAGGTGTTTCAACACAAGGCTACTAAGCCACTAAAATACTCGACATTTGCATTGAAAATCAAAGTATCTATATATATATATCTTCAACAAATGCTCATCTCGTCGTATTTGACTCTCAAAAGTATGAAACTGTATCTCAGAGTTATGGGACTTGAATCCAATACTTTATAAATAACTACAAACTCAGTCAACGTACTCCTGTTTATAAGTAGTATTTGCCTAACTTTCTGCAATAATTAGGAGCTTGTTTGGTTTTTCAATGCTTAGATAATGACTGAAAGAAGTTCATTAGTTATAATGTATAAAAATAAAACTCTTGCAACAAATATTTTCCCGTGATTACATGATTTTACTATGCGTTCCAGTAAAAGTTAAAGTTGTTACCTTGACTAAATATTTAATGTAAATATCTATGACAAATGAATAAGTAGTCAATAATCAATCTTTATTTTCGAATAATTTAAACAATGAATTTAGTCTTCTTCTAGCATAAATGTGTATATTTGTAGAATGTTTATCAGTTTCAAACCGTAGTTCAAAAACCTTTCAATATTTCTTTAATGATTTTGTCAACTTCATAAATGTCGCGTATGGATGGAGAATCTTTGTTGGCATTCGTTTCTCTAACGTACAGAACAAAGAAAACCAATGTTGTAATGGCCTTTTTAATAAATTTTCATATTGAATTCACTTCATAAAGCTTTTTGAATATTTGTATGATACAAAATGTTTTCTGCTGATTGACAAAGTTTATGCAAAAGCTCATTTTGATAAAATCTTGTTTAATTCCATGAAAAAAATAACACTCATTAAACTCGACTTTCAATAAATACACATTATGAAGCAGTTGCTTACAAAATTACTGTAAAGCAACAATGAATCCAAAACTAATTTGCACAACTATCAACTTACTCGGTATTGGTGTATCAGGTACAGAGGATTTTGTTTTGAGATTGGTTCTACAATTAACCAGACCGGTTGTTGCTATAGCTGTAGTTTGGCTTTTACTAGCTGCACATCTTAATAAATGATAGACTGGGTCAACTTCACCTATTAAAAAAAAACCACAGAAATTATAATGCAATACTTAAAATACTCATGAAACCGATTATTAAGCAACAAACCATTCGAAAATGATTAGGGAAAAATGGATTTATCAAGAGAAAGTAACTCTCTCTTCATATATATATATATATATATATATATATATATATATATATATATATATATATAGTGTACGATAATACTCAAATCATGCAATCCGCAGTAGGCAGTCAGTATCTGCAGATATAGCATGTTCTTTCACATTTGAATTGTTAAGACTTTAACAAGATCTACATAAACTCATGACTGCACTCAAGTTTGATAATGTACAGTTAAAAAAAATTCAAGAAGTCCATGCATTTGGCTAGCTTTATAAGTACTTATGGTTGCATCGGCTATGATATTAAGTTGCTCCTGGTGTTAGCATGAATAATTCTGAACCATCTTGAGCGCATTCAAGATTATTTCTTGGCTGCAAAAGCTTGGATCTTCAGCACTTTATTTGGAGTAGTTTTGCTCTATGGTTTAAAAACCTGGTCTCTCTGAGTTAAGGCTGTTTGACAACTGATCTGTGTTCGTTTACCGTTGATTCATGTAGTTAACATTGAGAATTAATAATCGGCAACTTTTGTTCGTGCTCAGTGACAACAATTCATTGTAAGAGATGGTGCAGCTCAGGTGGATGAATGTGGTGGTGTTTCGTTCGCTTATCAAAACGTCCAACTTAGATAACAAAACACCACCACAATTCATTCTATGTCAGCGGATTGAACTTGTACTACAAACGTCCCCCATATCGCGTGTTATTGACCGTTCCTGATTATGGTTATAAAAGAAGAGAAGTGGTCACTGTATGACATTGTGTCCTTATGTACACCCATTCTTCATGATTCTCTAGTTAGGGTCCTAAATACAATGGCTTCATAAGTAATCAAACCGAAGTCAAAATAAAAATCAGTATTGCCTTTGTTACCGTTTTCTGTTACTTTCTTCATACAAATGAAACAAACTTTTCTGACCGATATAATACTTTATTGCTATCTACATCTTTTTACTGAATTATCGTTCACTAATTCCCATTCAATTTTGTTCCTTATTACTATACTCAACTACCCTTCTCTTTCCTAACACTATCCCATTTTAACTCTGTGATTCATAAATATTCTAATACCCTTTTAAATGGTCATCTCTAGTAGATTAATAAACACATTTAGATGTTCCTAACTTCAACTTAAGGTTATATATCACCAAACATAGAATAATTAACTATAAAGAATTACAAAGCAGTATACAACTTGTCACAAAAAGTTTGTAGTTTTAAAACGCTTTAAACTCATCATCAATTAAAATTACATTTTAGTTAAATATTTTTGCAAAACTTATCATAGAATTAATTCTATCATATTCCTTGTCAATTTATTCTCTTCTAAGGACACTTTCATCAGTTAACATTAACTCATATTTTCATCATTGCATGCAGGTAATATAACAATGTCTTATTTTAAAAAGATGTATGTAGTTTCCTGAGGAATTCATTTTATATTTTATAAAGAAAAGCTTGTATGCTTAAAATTTACTAATCCTGATAATTTGATAGATTTTAAGTGTCAATTAAGATGCATTTCCCTACTGTATGACAGATACTTTTATCTTCAACATTTTTGAGCAGATTCAGCAAAGTAACAAACAAAATTTGTATTGTTTAAAAGATAAAATCATTAGAGGTATTTTTTTTGTTGATTTGTACATGAAAATAAAAATTCCATGTAGCCACTAGTAATGTACAAATCTTGTTACATTCAGTATTGTAGATGTTCAATACAATGAATACTTTTTTCTTCTTTTTCCAATTAAATAAATCAATACTTTATTAGTTTATATGGAACATTCCAAAATCATATTACATGTTATTTTTTAAATCTCACCGTACGATTAGTTTGTAATATAAACTGACCAGATATCTTGTCTGTTACTACCAATTAAAGTAACTGCAGTCTTCTGTACAATGTTAATGAATTTTTTATTATTCGCGTCAGAATTATGAACATCACATTTAAGAATTTCTGAGAATGCATTATTTGCATTACGGGGTTGTGAAGATTGTTAAGTTACACATTTTTGAAACCATGAATCGATCAATGTTAGACCACCATTAGACACCTGGAAGCACTGGACGACCGTTTCGTCCTGGTATGGGACTCCTCAGCAGTGCGCATCCATGACTCCTGCACCCCGCAGGATTCTAACCCAGGACCTTCGGTATTGTAGGCGAACGCCTTAACAATCTTCACAACCTCATAATGCAAATTACCTGTGCTCACTTGTGACTAGCTTCGTGAGGAATCTTCTCCGAGTTCTAGTGGGAAGACGTGACCAGTGAAGTTCAACCTGTTTGGGTGTAGACAGTGTCTACCGAAGACTGTGTATGACGTTGCGCAACTCCGTGAATTTGATCAAGTTAGACATTAACACCGTTAGATACCGGCTCAGTGATCCGATGGTTAGGCGTTCGCATACAATATCGAAGGTCCTGGGTTAGAATCTTGCGGGGTGCAGAAATCGTGGATGCGCACTACTGAGGAGTCCCATACCAGGACGAAACGGTCGTCCAGTGCTTCCAGGTGTCTAATGGTGGTCTAACATTGATTGATTCATGGTTTCAAGAATGCATTATTTGTAAGTTCATGTTTTTACATAAGTAAAAACAAAAGGATTAATTTTTTACTTTTCACCTTCGAAATCTTATCTCATTCTTAATTTTTGTTCTTTGGTAAACATAAATCTTTCGACCTGTATCATAGTGGTTTTTCTTTTCTTTTCCCTTTCATACAATAACAAAAAATAAACTAGGAACCAACTGTTTAAACGTTTCTAAAATTTATATATTTTGTAACTGCAAATTTTGGTACAAATGAATACTTGTAGGTAGTGAGTGAATAAATGTTTTAGTTCATTTTGTTTATTTTTTTGATTAGTTATTAGTTTGCTGCATGTGTATAATTGGATGAAGAAAATGTTATGATCTCAAAGAAAGTATGGCATTAAAACGGTCAGTTCGGATGCAGCTGGATCAGTTGGACTTCGCAAATGATCTAGCTCATGAAAAACAGTAAATGCGAGACAAGATTACTAGTGTAGCAGTAGCCTTTGAAGCAGAGGACATAAACATACTTACGGGAAAATCAAAATCCTCCGATACAACAAAACATTCACCAACCAAATCACACCTGATGAAGAGGCTCTGTAACATGCAGAAACCTTTACATGCCCGAGCAGCATCAATGATAAACAAGCTGGATTAGATGTCTACATAAAGACACAGATTAGAAAAGTGGGGGCAACATTTCTACAATTGAAGAACATCTGGAACTTAAAAAGATGATCAGCCAAACACAAAGGTGAGAATTTTCAATACGAACGTTTAGTTAGTTCTACTGTATCAAGCAGGAAACTCATAGAATCCCGAAAGTCATCATTCACATAATACGGGGGTTTATTAACCAGAGATCATCAGCAACAACCTACTGTTAGAGAGAACAATCCAGATTTTAGGGGACCAATAAATCAGGAAGATGCGCTGGAATTTAATAAGATACACATTGAGGAAAGCACTCAACTGCGTTACAAGACAAGCCTTAACATGGAATCCTCAAGGCCAAAGCGAAATAAGAAGATCAAAGAACACATTACGCCGAGAATTTGAAGCAGACATGAAAAGAATGACTAACGATTGAGTAGAACTAGTAAGAAAGGCTCAAAACATATAGGACTGGAAAATCCCAGTCGGCGGCCTATGTTCCATTTTAGATAACAAGTGTAAGCAAGTATGTCTACAGTTTAAGAAATCAGTTAAAAAAGTTAAATTATTTTATTGTTGAGAGCAAGGTTTACTATAATACCTATTTGCATATCTCACACAGTATCTCTTGTACAACATACTCATTCGAAAAAATATATAAAGTAAAAATCTGTGGTGATCAAGATTTACAAATTATTTGCATATTAATAGTGGAAAAATATGTTAAATTCTGCTTCATGGATTAGATGAAATCGTTAGAAGTGAATTTAGCGTAAAAGAATATTTCAAACCCTTATTGTTCATCGGCCTTGGAATATTTTTAACACATACTTTTGATTGTGAAATATTTTAACGAAATATAATGTTAATGCGAGAAAAGTAAAATAAAAATTGAGTGGAAACAAATAATAAGCAACGACCTGATTATAACATAATAAATGTGAGATTCAGAACAATCCAATGCATACTCAAATGGTGAATTCATTATCCTGCCCATGACTGGATGCTAGAGTATGTACTTGTAGCTAGTTACATCTAAAATATTACAACTTTGATTTTTTTTATATAACTTTGTCTCCTGATCACTGAAACTAAACACTCTGATAATATTCGGTCGTGAACGAGATTAGAATGTTCTAAAATAGATATTACTGCTTCCCCTCCCCTGAGAAATAATGTCTCAAATGAATATTTAATGCAGTGTTTAAATCAAAAAAGACTCACAGAATTCTGTTTAACAATTTAATTTTCAATAAACACTGTTTAAAACAAAACAACAAGTAGACTCTTATTTTACAATTTGTAGTATCCTTGGTATTTCGCTATTGCTTCAATACACTCACTGTATAACAAAATATATGGTTTTTTTGTCTGTGAATCTCAAGCTTATAATGTACTAAATAAGACTTCTCCCTATAAAGTTAATCAATCGAGGAAAACCGATATGAAATTCTCAATTTCCGAAAGGATGGTAGATAGATATAACAATAATATACTTTCTTCTACACTATAGTTTTATTCGTGATCAAATTTACTGTTTGATCAGACCAATAAATGAAACTGTCCAGTATTTTTGATATTGGTGAATATATGAAGAAAATAAAAGTATTTATTTCGAAGACAGACAATCTCATCTGCCATTCAAAGTTGTTTTGTAAGAATACTTTTGTTTCCGTTTATTAAACGGCCATTTAACATTGTTCAAGGAATTTTCTGATAATAATTGATAGTTAACCTTGTAAATGTAAACAAAATTCGATAAATTTGCCACCAAAATTTGTTTTTATCCTCTTTTTCTATTCATATTTACATATTCATGTGTTGTTTATCTTCAGTCATAATCGAGTATTTTTAAAAAAAAAATACGGACTAACAAATCAGTCAGTATATGTTGTTTAAATTGCGTGCGTGTGTGTGTTTGTGTACTTAGAGATATAGTTTGAGTGGCTCAACATGTTGACCTCTACTTTAAGTCACTAATAATAGAAAACTGGAAAAATTTTCTGTTTTATCAATTTTTTTTTTGCAAAATGAAAATACATCTTTTGGAGTTCTTATTTAAAATAAATCAATTTTGCAACTACTGATGAAACTTAGGCGAAGAGAAACTTAATTTATTCTGAAACTTTTAAGTGACATTGTAACGATTTTTTAGTTAACACCTAATGAAATTTGTATTTTGTTTTCCATACATAACGGTAATATCAAAGTTTTTCTGAATGCGTGAAATGATCCTGATGAGCAGAATAGGTTACTCTTAAAAAGCTGAGATGCTGAACCGATTCAAAATGGCAAGTATCTGCCTACTAATATGTTTTTTTTTAAGAAATAATGTAGTTCAGTTTGAAACCATTTCATCATTGATTAAGATCTCTTATGTAGGTGACTTCAAAATAAAGTCTTAATTTCATTATAATAAAGTAAATGGGCTGTTCACAGTGACTATCATACTTAAGCTAATCAACTAGTAAACAGATCATCCGTTTCATCAGAAATTAAGAAACGACTATTTTCTTTTTCAGTAATTTTGTTAACGATTTCTATAAGAAAAATGCAACTTATAACAAAATCGTTTTTTATTCATTTCACTAAAAAAAAAATACTGAATGTGTACAATTGACACCAGTAAAATTTGAATAACTATTTAGATCATTTTGTTTATAATTGAAATAAAAACTCTAAAAGCATATGATTTTCAACCATATTTTATTGGAACGTTTATCTTGCAAATCAATAGTGTAGTCTTCAAACTACAAATTGTTAATTTTAAATTTTTAAGTAATTTTCGAAAATGTAATCTAATGCATTTTGGTGCATTTCTTCGTATTCTCTTAAAAATAGCGAGACAGAGAGAGAGATTAATGGACCCAGCTGTTTTGTTTTAAGATGAATTAAAATATATTGATTTGATTATACAAGTAACTAGAAGAGAATCAGTCTATTTATTGTGATATGTACATATTGATTTATCTTGATTTAAAAACAATACAAAGCGTTTTTTATAAGATGTGACAGTGGTTAGAAAAAAAATTGATCTTAATTTCGATTGAATCTCACGGTTATGTGCAATTTTTATCTATTACTTGGGATGAATATATATTTGTATAATAGGAGTTTTAGGTCGAAGAAAGGTTATACCATTCATTTTAATTACAAAATGATTTAGATAAAGAACTTCTGTTAACTTAGTTCATTATGATTATTTGAATAAATCTTTCTTTGCTATTTCCTTTAAAATTTTTAGAGAAAGTTCACTACTGACCATAAATAAGAAAGTTATATTCAGGATTATATTTCATTTTATTCTACTTAATCATAAAATATAAGAGTGGACATACATATTTAAGAGGCGGCAATTCGGACATGCAAACATGAGCGATTGAATATCGAAGTTACTTACAGTTACACTGACTAGATGGCACTTACTTTTATCGACACATACAAATATATTTGAAACAAGATTTAGGAGTTAAATTTTAATTTATCTTTTGTCATACTGAACAGATGCTTGTATTTAATATATCGGCATTAACTCTCTTCATGTTTTCTACAATACTTTATCATTGCTTCAAGTTTAATCTGATCATATTGAATTAAATTTAATATCTGAAATGTCATGTTATAGTGCTTCCTTGTCACACAGCAAGTAAATGATTGCCAAGTGATTTATAGGTGCAGTCATATCATAAAGGATAGCGGTTCTTCACAGAGTCATTACTGACACTGTGAAGAGATCCAATTATGAAATAAAGAGTATATGACACTGAATATTCGTGGTCAAATTATTTTCCTTTCAATTTCTGATTTCAAGTTCCTCATAAATAAGTTGAGTTATAAAAAAAAACTCATTCAATCATTTACCTTCTAGTGTTTGAGGATCCGTTGATTGACTGCCATTTTCTTTACGTTTAATTTGGTCTTTATCAGTCTGTAAAATTCAAATAAAAATTTTTCTATTGATGTTTATATACAATTATACATATGCGTATATAAATATAATGCGTACATACTAAAACTCTCATTCTCAACATTTCATAAGTAATATCTTTTTTTGTAAATAGTAATTAAAATAATTTTATCATTTTTGCTGATATCTACTGAAAATGACAAATTGATTTCCAGTTACTTACTTTATCTTTTCTTAAAGAATGAAAAGCTCGTTTCCATAATCCCTTAATATTTTGCGACCCGGATGTTGTGACAGATTTCAAGTCACCAGAACCTTCTTTCTTCATATCAATAATTTTTAACTGAATAAAATAGAAATAAAAAGTATTATGACTTTTGTGTGATTCTAAATAATTCAAATATATTTTTTTTTGCACTTAAAAAAATAAAATAAACATGGATAAAAAAACATGTTAAACTAAAGTAGAAAAGTGAAATATTTAAGTATGTAGTTATTATTTATTAATTTATGTTGAGAACATACAAAAAGCAGTAGGATAACATTTTCAAACAGTTGTATTTACAAGTTAATCATTTAAATCATTTCAACTTTACTTATTGCAACTCAATTTATTTTAAATAACAGATTACTGCTATGGAGCATCGGTTAGTGAGTTGTACATTTTTAAAATGTACAAAATCTATGCAGAATCAATCTATTGTATAATAGTTGTTCAAGCTATTGCCCTAATAAAATTAATTAAATTATGATTTTCCATGAATATAGTTATTATATCAAATGTTAATCAACGTTGAACGTAATGACAAACGGTTTTGACAATCATGACTTGTAATCATTATGATCACCGAATGCTCTGTCATTACTTAGTTTGATAGCTGGTGCACACAGATGTACAATAATTTACTTTTTGTTATCTGTTACTCATTTTTTGCATTGAAAGTGTAGAAAAAGACCTCTGATTGCCAGTATAAAATAACGTTTACAATGAATAACTAAAAATTATTCCTTTGACTTTTCAAATATATTTTTAAATAAAATCAGTAGGATGCGAAATAATTAGCAGTTGAATCGATAAATGACTCATTGGTGATTTTAAATGACCAAAAATAACGAGAAACCTATGACAAATTAAAACAATTTTTAATTTCATTCACCGGACTTCCATGTAACACACTCCAATTGTTTAATGAATGCGAATGTCTGTAATGGTGTCTTTTTTTAAAATAAATTCATTGAGTCATTCAAAAAACCGAAAATCCCTGAAAATTCAAAATAACATCTCCATTTCATACAATAATTTCATGTCTTCAATTCATCCAACAATACAATTTTTTTCAAGTGAATAACAATTAACATTTACAAGCCAATGTATGTAGGCATTAGAAATTGAACAATATGTATATTACTTTGAATTGCAGTCAACGAATAATATTTAAATACTACTTAAATTATTCATTGCACTACGTTTACATGGATTATATTAAAAATAAATTAAAATTTTCCCAAATAAATAGACTGATGACGACAGAATGGACAGTTGTTTTTACAAAAAGTATGATGACATAAATGAGAAATCGATGATGTCTGTTGTTCTTTATTATTCTACTTGTCGAACGAAAAATGAATTAAACGAAGCGCTGCTGCTTATGACATATTTTTCGATAGATAAGAAGCAAATGGACATTTATCAACAAATCGTATTCGGCTGAATCAATTTTAAAACAACTTTCAAAATGCTTAGCTCTCCCTGACAAAAGTATAGTCTATTGTGAATAATAAAGAAATAAAAGTTACTTGACTTTAACAAAGAAAACAAATGAAATCCATCTTGAAAATTATTATTAAAGTTATTTTTTACAATTTTTGAACAAAACAGTTTTTACGTATAAAATGTCATCTAATAGCTTCAGTCAAATAGGGCTTATATACAGAAATAACATATATGTTATATGTTTTTTGAAACAGACGAATATGTTTTTTGTTCTTGAGTTTAGTATGCAATAGATAAAAAGTGTGTTTTGTCTGATTTTTTCTATCTTTTGGTAAAAGTACGACTTTCCCATTTTTTTCTTTCAAGTTAAATTAAAAAGAGTGAAAATCGGTTCATCGCATTACTGAACAATGGATAAACGAAAAGACGGATAACAGGTGCTTTTGTTCTTCTGTGCCGAGAATATATATATATGTATACATATATATATGTATATATTTCATCATAATTTCGGCTATATTCCTGAAAATGACATATGTAAGTTATTCGTCCTTTTTTTGAATAAATTCAAGATTTATTTTAATAATAATCATTTTGTTTAAATTAAACCGCGATAATTATGATTTATTTTGATTGAAAAATTCAAGTATAATAAAGCAAACCTTTATAACATGTCTATAGGGTAATAGTTTAGATTTTTTAATAAAGTATTACATTTTACATGCTGTGAGTTGGTTTAGCATTGAAGAACTATATTTATTCACTGTCTTATGAATAATAATAATAATAGTTCGGTCACTGCCTAATATCTTTAGAGTAACATTTTGTTATTGCGATAGATTACTTTTAGTGGTTGAGACAAGTGTTTCAGAGATGATGTACTTTACTCCCTGGTAGTAGTGTTTATCAGTTATGTTACACCTAAAAGATCATGGCTGAGACGTATATTAAATTGTAAGGATAAAGATTTACGATGAAATTTCAACAGCATTTTCCAAAAGGATTAGCAAAGTGAAGGTTTCTATTACTTATCCGTTTGAGTAAATGTTAAATATTATGTAAGTCGCAAAACTAAAAATAAAGCATTTCGCCATACGCTGATGATGGCTAACAGTAAAATCTAGAACACGCGTTTCGTCGTCCTCAAGACTCATCAACTGAAAAGGCATCACTTCTGAAATGCAGCTACATTCATCGGACAGGTCCTAAATAAGATGAAACGAGTGTCTTAGATTTCATCTCTCTCAAGCATCTATTTCTAATCATAACGTTCCTGATTTCATAGCAATATCAAGGTAGTCCGGACAAAATGTACATATGCTAAAAGAGACTGTTCAACCACAGTCCAAAGAATATAGAAGGAAAATTCAAACGGAATTGTCGAAAATTACGTAGTTTTCTTGAATGCAATAATGTAAGACATAAATAGATCTAAACTTCATTATAACCTGCAATAAAAGTATGTGAGTTTATAAGAATACTACAATGCAGATGAACCACACTGAACACACTTTCATTCTTTCCATTTGCATTTCTGAATTATCTCACACAACACTTGTGGTGATAATGAACATTAAGGGAACATAATGTGGTATCCAAGTTGGAAGTAAACTCTTTGCAAGGCCCATGTTCATAGATCCTCTAGAGGATAAAAAGAAAGAGATTTAGGAGTTCTGTTCATCAACTTCAAATATATTTTGTTGAATCCACTGATTCAAACGTTGACTTTCATAGTTGATTGAAAGAATTCATTCAAGTCTACTATCACTATCATATTAGTTGTTGTTTGATCAAAGTAACACAATAATTCTTTGAACATTTTATAATGCTTGGTATTTTTTATTTTATTATGTTCAATGTTTATAAAATGAAAAATATTGTCTACTCGATAGGCTGGGATATAAGGGTTTAATCACTTTTTTATTCTAATTTACACTTTTATTATGCCAGTGTTTCTGTAGGTGTAAATACTTAAACGGTAAATAACAAGAAGTATAAGATGTTCGGCTGAAGTCAGTGAAAAGTTTAGTACTGCTTCTTTTATCATAAGAATGAAACAGTAACATCTGTATTATCACGGTAATATATCCAATAAAATTGAAAATAATCACTTCTAATAATGCCAATCTATCGAAAATTCTGTACAGGCAACTTGAAAAAAAAGCAACCTTATCGTGATTCCTTTTTTTTATCTCTAATATCTCATAGACAGTTTTCTTTTTAAATGTCATATAAAAGTAGACAATTTTAAAACTTACTACATAAACATGTTTTCATGATTCACTAATTTTTATAGTTATCAATTAATTTCCAGACAATCTCATTACATGGCTAGTAGGACTTTTGTGTGTGTATTGAAAGCACCTGGTTAAGCTGAATTCAGTCTTTTTTTTTGAAATTTCCCACCTGGGGCAAACAAACATTGAACATTGAATATTTTTACGAATAAAAAACATTCATCGTTTCAATCATCTAAATTCTAAATTCAACAAAATATTATCTTTATTTACTGACTTCTTATGTAGAAAGAGATAAGGTTGAGACTTATTTCCTAATTTTTTGATAAACGTCATCAAACCTAAAAGTATGTTTAAACAAATCACAAGATATCTTTTGAGCTGCAAATAATATGCTTGATCGACAAAATAAGAATATTTCACTTACGATGCAGATACATGACAGGTAAACACTATCATGAACAAACATTCATTTTTGTCAGATACATATGAGTACACTAAAACATGTTGACATCTCAGACAAATGTATTTCACAATCTACAAATAACTGAAAGGAGTAAACTTTGCTTCAATATTTTAGTTTAATCAAGAATCCTTAAGAATGAGCAATAGTTTACAAACAATTGCAAATAATATTTTTCGGGGGCAATTCGTTCATCAAATAACGTTAAGAATATAAAATTTAATTACTACAGATCAGCAATCAAGATAATTGATTTTACACAAAATCAATGAAGTCATGTTCATCAACAGCGAAGTTTTTATAATCATGAAGTAAAACTATATCAATAATTACCGACAATTTAAGAATTGCATCTGTACTGATTGCAAGAATGTAAACAGGATATTTACCATTTAAAATTATCTTCATTTTATAATACATTGTTTACAAAAATACAACAACAATACATTCGCTGATGCATTATTGTTGACAGAGATTCAATAACCGATAAACATGTTTTCGTGTTTTCTTAAAGCATCTGTATATTGAATTTTTCAGTTGTGATTTATTTGCTTGTAAAATTATGTGAAGTATCGAGAAATCGGTTCAAACTAAAAATTCATGTTGATCTGGCTACCAAATTTTCACATGTTTTGTGCTTCCTATTTTTATCTTGAAACCATGAATCGATCAATGTTAGACTACCATTAGAAACCTGGAAGCACTGGACGGCCGTTTCGTCCTGGTACGGGACTCCTTAGAAGTGCGCATCCACGAATCCTACACCCCGCAGGATTCTAACCCAGGACCTTCGGTATTGTAGGCGAACGCCTAACCATCGGACCACTGAGCCGGTATCTAAAGGTGTTAATGTCTAACTTTTATCGTTTGAATAATGTACTTTTCTTACTGATGACTAAGATGTTCTCTATATCGTGAACCTGGTGATA